TGAATCCAGGCCTCTCCCAATTTTCATTGTTAGGGCAAATTAGATTAGATTAGATTAGATAATATAAGAGCTGTTATGTTCACCCTATTTCGTTTAAAATGATCAAAGACCGGTAGTTAAATTTCCCCACAATCGTATAAGTAGACATCACGCTGCCAAGGAATTTGGCATAGCCTTGCTTCCTAAATGGTATTCTCAACCAGTATGTACTGTAGTATCGACCTCGCATAGATCTCATCAGAAAAAGTTTGAGCACTTAAGGTAGAAACATGTTTTAAACATATCAGTACTTCTTGATTGGTATTGCTTTTGATTTCTTTACTGTACAAACATGTTAATGCAATTACAACTTTTTCGGCAGATTACAGGCTCAATTTTAGCCTATTCTGTTCTTGTTGAGCTAATTTCTATTTCGAGTGAAAGTGTTTGGTGAAGAGATTCGATGTTTATTTCCACCAGAAGACGACAAAAAGTTCCTCTTGACCAGATGTAGATTGGCTTCTAGTGGAATCGACCTTTGATTCCCTTCGCCAAACACTTTTCCTCGAAATGGAAGTAAGCTCAAAAATTATGAAATAAGAGATTCCTCGAAACCCAACTTTTCTTCGTATATTCTGTTCTTGATTGTTTCATTGAAGAGGGATCGATTCGGTCTCTCTCCTCGTCACTCAGGTCACCACCAGAATTTCAGCATGAATGGGAATGTTTCGTATATTGCCTGGGCCATCCAGCTTAGTTATTATATGAACCCAATCTTAATCCAATCATATGAAACGCACGCCGGGCGATAACTACACAAAAAATAACTGGGTTTTTATGAGTACCTTGAGATAGCATTGCTGTAGAGACTTTCATTTCGTGGTCAGAGTTTGTTAAATGTATGGAAGTCTAACGATGATGTATCGAGAAAAAAAGAAGAGGAACACTTATATCAAGCTAATAAATAGGCCCATAAGATTTATTTATGAAGCTGGCAACTTGGATCAACAAAAATAAGCCTGTAGTTTCCTTGAATTTGGTCAAATCCTCAAATCGAAGTAGAATAACGCAATAAATCGAATAAGACACGGACTATGACCCTTCGCAACTGTTGTAATCGCATAACGACAAGGATTCGGCATACTCAGGAACTTTTTTGCAAATTCTCGCCTCATCGTGGATCGATTAGCTGTAGGTTCCAAAAAGACCTGTTCGCCCTAAAGGTGGTTCGTGATTTAGTTGGAACCCTTTAGGCAGCCCTTCAACTGAATTTCTGTTAACCTTTGTGTTACTCAGGTGTCCGTTTGTTGCGGTAATATTTGGCCTGATTTTGGTGTACACACAGATGGACACATGGATTTGTACACACATAGACTATCTATTCTCCTTCCTATTGGTTTCTACCATGACTGGCCGGTTCCCTTAACTGCAAACTCGCACAGAGTTACTGCTCCAATAAGCAGACGACCAACAATAAATAATTCTGTATTATATGACAATGCAGGGAACATTGTATAAAGAGATCACAGTTCATACAAATGGGCCTCTAATGTCTGTATATATGTTAATGGATATGTGTTACAGGCTTGTGTAAATATGTTTGCATTTTTTGGCATGTGCATTACCTTTCCAGTTGGAGGAAATTAAATTTCATTCTTTGCGTAATGGGTACACAGATGCAGGCTGTCACTGTATTTCACGGCTGAACCCCTCAGGAAATCAACACAACGGCTTTGAGAGAACCTGATTTTTTAGTAAAGTTTGGGATGTATAGTGACTATGTACACTGTTCAGGCGCGCATGTGGCGTTGTTCTTTGATTAAAAGCCGGGTTATTGTCACCTTCCGTTTCTGTGTCCGTTGTTTGTCTGGCGGACGTGAAAAACCTCGGGGATGGTGAATTGGATGAAATGAAATGAAAGAGGCCCAAAAAAGTACACGCAGCTTAGTTGATGCTGACTCGCGTGCCGAGCCTACAGCCTTAGCAGGCAGAAGACGCTGGGCCGCTCTTCCACAGCTCACCTTCCCCAAGCAGTCATCGGTTGAACGGAGAGCAAGAGATGCCTGCTCGGCTGGTGACACGAGTGGTGATCTGGCCCACTCAACCCTCCAATAGGCATGGCAACTCAAGAGGGCGGCTGTGTTTCCTCTCCATCCCATATGCACTGAACTGGGACATGACAGAACACAAGGAAAAAACTATGGGAACGCCCAGAAACGCAGTTGGGGGACGAATGTTTTGGAGAGGGCACTACTCAAAGGTTCTGGATAGGCTTGTGAGGCGACAGAAGAGCAGCCGGGCCATAAATCTGTAAATAATTTCTGAGCAGTAAAAGAAGATGTGATGAGGCAAGCAACGTGGTTCGGACGGATGGCGAAGGGAAGAGGAAGCAAGTTAAACATGAGTGAGGCATAATTTCTGAGTGGAACATTGACGGAAGATATCTAAGGCTATGAGGTATCCAAACTAAAGAGCAAGGGATGCCACAAAGGCTCAGGTAAGATGAGCCAAGGACTGCTCTTAGGATTTGGAGCGGCCTAAGAGCAAAGTAGCATAGCAGAGGACAACTTTGGAGAGACCGTATTGAGCCTTTAAAGTTCCACGTTGACGGTGTTTGCAGGAAAGTGCGATTCGGAATGCGGACACTGCTCGACGGGAGCCAGTGTACCAGGAGAGTCCGGTAGGTGCGGCGAGGATGTAAATTTGCCATTGCCAATCAGCGGTGCCGGAGCCTAGGCTCTGGAGGCAGCAGACAGGTTCTTTGATGTCAAGGTCAACCTTATAAAGTTGGTAGTGGGCACTGCTGGGCCCCCAATTGGGCTTTCATGACTCTTTGGGCCGATTTACCAAAAATAAGTAATGTTGATGAGTATGAACAAGAATGGCAACATGACACCTTCCCTTGGGGTACCACAAACAGCTCCAACTCGCATGCTTATGCTTGGCTCCGGAGTGTGAAAATGATACAAGCAGAGACGAATCTGGTCGCGACGAGACGTGATTGAATTATGTACAAGCTAGCCGGAATCGCCCGTGCAGCGTGCTTTCAACGCCAACTCGCCGCCATTCGGAAGAATTGCTGTAAAGCAAGAAAATACGGAATGAGATATTAGAAACGAAACTGGCTTTTAAGGAGTCTTCCGATGTCATGTTTGCGTTGAGGTTCATTACATGTGAAGATGTGTGACAAAAATATTCGAAGGCATGTCCCAACTAAAGATCACGGTGGAAGATTCTTGCTTTTATATTCTTGGAGTTGGCCGTGGCATTTAGACTGCCTTTGTTCTTGAGATACCTTTATACACTTATAATAAAAATTTTATGTTAATCGACAAACATCATCAGAGCCAGAGCTCAGACTTATTCCAATTTCAAGAAAATCTCAGAAAAATTACTTATATATGGGATGAACTGATTCCGTTAATACATCTTCATGTATATCTATGTATATGCTCATGTGTATGGGAACGCAGTCATAGTTCCGGAGCCATCAAGAAATGATGATGTTTTTTACCCAGATAAAACCTTCACTACGATTGCGTAATACTAGACACATGTCTGATTGTGATGATGAGTCACATGTATAAAGTGAACTATGATTATAATAATTCCTAAAAATATTAAGGAAGTTATCTTATTCTCTCTATTCTTAGATCTATCGTTCGAACACAGGTAGTTCATACTCAGTCTTAAAACTCAATTGCTTGACTCAGCGTAGTTCCAAATCTTTTAATTGCCCCCCTGATTCTGAGTTCATCAACTATTTATAATTCCTTATTTTTAATAAATTCACCCGTTTGTAACTCTTTTTAATTCTTCATCTTTTTACAAGTTCTTCAAACCTTCTGGCAAAAAAGTATGAAAGCCGGATTGGCAAACTTTCACTTAATTAACCTGCTTTTCTGGCTTTATTAGTCGAAGGAAAACAGGTTTATCTGCACATTTTATTGCTTCTATTTATTGTTATTAGTCTATTTATGTAAATTTTAAATACACTAGATTTTTCTATGAAGAACCCTTAGTTCATACGATTAAGGGAATTCGGGATATAATAAATAAAGCTCGTTTGGGGGATCTGATCTAGCATGTTTGGTAAAATTTCATTTCGTGTGTGACGGATAACTTCTTAGGTTGTGGTCATCAGAGGACGAGGGTGGATCTATATTGGCTTTCTTTTGTTTGGCACTATCACTGGAGCATCTTATTTAGATGAAAACATACGTATAAGCACATTAGCATACAAGCATTCAACACACACATACAATATACAAATACACAAAAACGGTCTCGAAACGAACATATAAACCCGCCAGTACAAAAACACAAGAACTTACATGAAAATACAAGCATAAATTGACCACCCATATAATCTTATAACACGATTTAGGTTTAATCGAAAGTATAAGACCAAGATAGTGTGGCCTTTTTTTTGTGGTCGCGGTCTCCTTCCGTATAGTAT